GCATGTTCCGAGGACAAATCGAACTGAAACATAAATGAAACTGAAAATATCTGGAGCTAAAAAAGAGAGCCACTTAGACTGATGACAAACAAAGTATTAGAAGCGATTTAAACAAATAACTGACCGACAACTCCACGTCAACTTCAGACAGGGCAAAATTGACGGTATCCTTGCATTTGTCAATTTCGACAGCCATTACGCATTCATGTCGTCACACACACGTACAACATGCACAAAAACACACACATACACACACGCACACACGAACATACATTCACACATATACACAAACCCACGCATCCACACACACACGTACAACGCATACACATCCGCCCACGCAAATACGCACACCCACACACATACGCGTACGCACGCCCACACACATACACCCATACGCACACACTCACACGTATATACACCCACACGTATACACACCCACACACATACACACCCACACACATACACACCCACACACATACACACCCACACGCATACACACCCACACACATACACACCCACACACATGCACACGCCACACACATACACACACCCACACATACACACGCACACACAAAAATACACCTACACACATACAAACAGACACCCACACACACACGTACACCCAGACATATACACGCACACCCATACACGCTCACACACATACACACACACCCATACACACGCACGCCCCTCCACACACGACACACACACATATACATACTCACACACGCACGCATACATACACACATACACAAACCCATACACATCCACACGCGCACATACACACACACCCACGCATACATGCACCATCTTCCTTTTATCTGTTAATTTTAGCAATTCTTCATTCACCCATTCCTTTCATGCTTCTAATACGATTCTTTTGCCTGTTTCTGCTGTTTTAACTTAATGCAGTTATTCTGAAAAAAATTTTAGAAATCTGATAGCAAGAACTGAACCTTGAACAGTTTTGTCAAGGCTTGCTCTGCTGCTGCACTTTTTGCTGCTTTCTTCGATTGCCCGGTACCTTCGAATCGTTCGGTTCCATTTACGGTTAAGGTGCATTTGAACATCGGCGGTTTATTGGGTGCTTCACTGATATCCTCCGGCTCATCATACACAATATCCGGCAGCTTTTTACGCTAAAATTATTCGAATTTGTAAAATAATGAAATAATAAAAAACCCATTTAAACAAATCAAAATTGCAAAATAATAGAAAGGCACGATAATGAAAAAAAGAGCTGCACGATAATGAAAAAACCCCATCTTTCTAAAAAAAATAAAAAATTGAAGAGTGTATCTCTGGAAAATGCTGCCAAAAACAACAACAACAATTCCTATATCTCTGAAAACACTTCGCATGGACGACGAAAACTTTTCACCTGTTCTCTTACCAGCCTGCATATTTTCTTTTCCAGATATCTTTTTTTTATTCAAAAATAGTCTTTTAACACAAATGACCGCCGGATCGCGCAA